TATATAGATTACCATAATACTTTCATAGAGATTACCATAATACTTTCATATAGATTACCATAATACTTCCATATATAGATTACCATAATACTTTCATATATAGATTACCATAATACTTTCATATATATAGATTACCATAATACTTTCATATATAGATTACCATAATACTTTCATATATAGAGGTTACCATAATACTTTCATATATAGATTACCATAATACTTTCATAGAGATTACCATAATACTTTCATATAGATTACCATAATACTTCCATATATAGATTACCATAATACTTTCAAATATAGATTACCATAATACTTTCATATATATAGATTACCATAATACTTTCATATATAGAGATTACCATAATACTTTCATATATAGAGATTACCATAATACTTTCATATATAGAGATTACCATAATACTTTCATATATAGATTACCATAATACTTTCATATATAGATTACCATAATACTTTTATATATAGATTACCATAATACTTTCATATATATAGATTACCATAATACTTTCATATATAGATTACCATAATACTTTCATATATAGAGGTTACCATAATACTTTCATATATATAGATTACCATAATACTTTCATATATAGAGATTACCATAATACTTTCATATATAGATTACCATAATACTTTCATAGAGATTACCATAATACTTTCATATAGATTACCATAATACTTTCATATATAGATTACCATAATACTTTCATATATATAGATTACCATAATACTTTCATATATAGATTACCATAATACTTTCATATATAGATTACCATAATACTTTCATAGAGATTACCATAATACTTTCATATATAGATTACCATAATACTTTTATATATAGATTACCATAATACTTTCATATATAGAGGTTACCATAATACTTTCACATATATAGATTACCGTAATCCATTCATACTTGGAGATTACTGTAATACTTTTATATTTGAAGATTACCACAATCCTTTCATATATAGATTACCATAATACTTTCATATATAGAGGTTACCATAATACTTTCATATATAGATTACCATAATACTTTCATATATAGAGATTACCATAATACTTTCATATATAGATTACCATAATACTTCCATATATATAGATTACCATAATACTTTCATAGAGATTACCATAATACTTTCATATATATATATATATATTACCATAATACTTTTATAGATTACCATAATACTTTCATATATAGATTACCATAATACTTTCATATATAGAGATTACCATAATACTTTTCATATATATAGATTACCATAATACTTTCATAGAGATTACCATAATACTTTCATATAGATTACCATAATACTTTTATATAGAGACTACCATAATACTTTCATAGAGATTACCATAATACTTTCATATATAGAGATTACCATAATACTTTCATATAGAGATTACCATAATACTTTTATAGATTACCATAATACTGTCATATATAGATTACCATAATACTTTCATATATATAGATTACCATAATACTTTCATATATTGATTACCATAATACTTTCATAGAGATTACCATAATACTTTCATATATATAGATTACCATAATACTTTCATATAGATTACCATAATACTTTTATATAGAGACTACCATAATACTTTCATAGAGATTACCATAATACTTTCATATATAGAGATTACCATAATACTTTCATATATATATATATATTACCATAATACTTTCATATATAGATTACCATAATACTTTTATAGATTACCATAATACTTTCATATATAGATTACCATAATACTTTCATATATATATATATAGATTACCATAATACTTTCATATATATAGAGATTACCATAATACTTTCATATATAGATTACCATAATACTTTCATATATATATAGATTACCATAATACTTTTATATATAGATTACCATAATACTTTCATATATAGATTACCATAATACTTTCATATATTGATTACCATAATACTTTCATAGAGATTACCATAATACTTTCATAGAGATTACCATAATACTTTCATATATATAGAGATTACCATAATACTTTCATATATAGAGGTTACCATAATACTTTCATATATATAGAGATTACCATAATACTTTCATAGAGATTACCATAATACTTTCATAGAGATTACCATAATACTTTCATATATAGAGATTACCATAATACTTTCATATATATATATATATATATTACCATAATACTTTCATATATAGATTACCATAATACTTTTATAGATTACCATAATACTTTCATATATAGATTACCATAATACTTTCATATATATATATAGATTACCATAATACTTTCATATATATATATAGATTACCATAATACTTTCATATATATATAGATTACCATAATACTTTTATATATAGATTACCATA